TTTTTGGTAAGAAAGATTGGTTCTGAGCTAACACCTGTTGCCAGTCTTCCTCTTTTTGCTTGAGGAAGATTGTCCCTGAGCTAACATCTGTGCCCACCTTCCTCTATTTTGTATGTGGGGCGCTGCCACAGCATGGCTTGATGTGTTGTGTAGGTCCGCACCCAGGATCTGAACCCATGAACCTCAGGCCACCGAAGTGGAGCACGTGAACTTAACCACTGCGCCACCAGGCCAACCCCCAGGTGTTCCTTTTACCAATGAGTCTTTTTTGGAAAATGTGATGTCTTTCTGACAACTGAAAGGAACATTGAAGACATCAGAACCTTATCCAACATAAATCTTTAACATCTGCTTTTTGGGGCAAACTTCTTTGTCATTGAGATGCAGCCATTCTTGTTTGGAGTATGTTAATTCCACTACCCTGCTTAGTGGGTGACATATAATGGACAGTTCTCTCCACTGCTTCTCTTTCCCGCTTAACTACCCTCTCTGCTTTTCCTTTCTTGGATAGAGGCTCAAATGGGAGATTATATGTGAAAAATTGAAAAGCCCAATATTCTACCCAAACTTAAGAAATAATAAGAGAAATGGTCATTAGCATTGGTTATGGCACTGGTTTTCAAAACTGTGGATTCTGACCTACAAGTGGGCCATGGAATCATTTCAGTGAGTCCTGACCAGCACTTTTAAAATAAAGAAATAGAATAATATAGAATAAAAAATAATCAGCAAGTATCCAAGTATATCATACATAGTAAGGGTAAATATTTTTGTAGAACTTTTTTTTTTTAGTTGTTTATACACAGAGATGCATACTGGGTGTATATTGGGTCATGATATGAAATGTATTTCTTATGTGAGTCATGGTCAATATTTTGGAATTCATCTGTTTATGCTGTGTATTGGGCTGATGTCCCCTTTGTACTCACACACATCTCTTTTGCTGGTTATTTTCATGAACCACAGTAGAGAGTAGTGTTTTAAGAGCTTATTCACTGGGGTCAAAAGTATTTTCTTTTGAATCCTGTCTCTTCTACTTAACAGCTGCATAATAGTGATGAAGTCATTTAAACTTTCCAGCCTCAGTATCCTTACCTGTGAAATGGGGATAGCAACTTCTACATCATCAAGACTGTAGTAGCCATTAAATGAACTCCCTAGTGTGGGTCCTGGCACATAGTAGACATTTGGTAAATGCCAGATAAAATATGTATCCATATCCATCCATCTCTGTTTCTATGGGATGGAGACCTCATGGTGTATGTGTCTTCTTTGCATGAACAGAAGTCTATTCTGTGCACTGCCCTGTTGGCAGATGGCTGGGATTCTGTCTGGACCCCTTCTGCATCTAAACTGTGATTGGTTTGCCTTAGGCAATACTAGGGTCACTTGAACCATTCTTAAACAGTTCCCACTTATATGGTTAACCTCCTGTTTTCTGTTGTCCTCTTGGTATGCTGCTTTTCATGTAGCTGGACCTCTATTCCTGTTGCCCTGCCATCAAATCAACCCTTCCCTCCTCCTCTGTCATGCCCACTCATGCCCAGTCCAACCAGGTCTACTTCATAGGTCACCTTTCTTATAGGAAAATAAATTTTAAAAATGTTTTTATGAATACTGGAAGGACTAGTTCACAGCATGCTCTACCCAAAAGCTTTCTATTTTGCCAGCTCTATAAACTCTTGTTAAATATAAGACCAATTAGAGTCTTAGGCAGGTAAGGCACATTGGCATACAAAATAGCAAAACACCTCAGTGTGAAATCTAGGTTTTAGATTTTTAAAGTATTTCTAGGACACAGCTACTAGTTCACATGCAAAGAAACTTAGTGTATATTTCATCTGGTTCTTCTCTAAATTTTGGCTTGCTGTCCTCTAGACACTAAATAGAGGGCAGATAATATGAGATAGAACAGAATTTTTTTTAGAAAGCAGCTGTGTTGAGCTGCTTCCTTTGTTTTCCTTATAAGTCCACATATGCATTTATACATCTGAGTTCACACTATATCATGGAATGGAAGGGAAAATGTCATTATTGTTATTTTGATTTGGCAATCTAGTTAGAACCTGTATTTTGAGATCTTTATATTTTGAATCTTTCCATAAGAATGTTAAATTTGGGAGTTTGGTATTTCTCCCCCAAGTAGTAAATTAAATCTTGATATATATTTCCACATTCAAACCTGGCATCTTACATTTTGGTACTGAAGAAGTATTTATCATCCTTTCAGCACTGATTCAATGCCAGGAATGGTACCAGTTGCTACATTAATATAATAAATGTAATCATCTCATGCCCACTTGGACCTCACTGTCTCATGGGATAATGGCTAGAAAGAGGTGAGTGGAGAAACTCCTCCACTTGCAAAGAGGCTGTTCTCTGACTTGGTGCTCATAAATCCACATATTATTTATCCAGAGTGACATGATGTGAATGATACACGACCGCACGTCTAGCAAGGCTAAGTTCCGTGTAGGTGTTGAAGCCTTGATGCCGACTTACTCCATACATTAGAGCGATTTTCTTACACTTTCAATTTTTCATTATCTTTATTTCTTTTTTCTTCCTATTCATGTGCCTATTATCTTGGGTAATTTCGGCTCTCTCACTGCCTTTGCTGTGATTAGGCATAATGAAGTTCATGTTTCCAAAACACTGAAACAAGCACAAACCTAGCAGGCGCATGGTTGATCAAGGAACCACAGGTTGGCCTAGACTAGAGGTTGCCTGCAGGTTGTTTTATTGTGGCTTGTGGGCATGATTGTTGAACCTACATAGTGTTTACAATTCTTTTCTTCAGTTAAATATGGAAGATTTTACATAAAATGTCCTGATGATGTAGCAGGAATCAAGATTTGAGTAGTGGCTGTCTGTCTGCTTTGGAGGGGGTGTGAATTCCCATTGCAACACAATCTCCAGGCAATTTTCTTCCTGCCTTCGTGTCAACAAGATCTTAAGATCATGACCCCGCCTGGACCCCAGTAACTTTGAATGTTGGCTGACATCTTTTGGTTACAGACTGAGTTGAAGGTCAGTCTCAAAGCTGAGAGATGGTGAGCCTGGTCTCCCCTGGTTGCTTTGTGTGAACACCAGTGAAGGAAGGAAGGACCACGTATAGAAGATAGCGAATCATGGCAGCCACATATGGTTGTGTGCATTTGGGCCCACATAACTCTAGAAGGTGCATTCACTTCATAGCTGCTGCTGAGTGGAATATTCATTTCAATTTTCCAACACTTGTTAGTAGTGTGTCTGGAGCCTTTTTTCTAGTTCACACACCCTTGGGCTAGCAGCTTTCTGGAAGGTATAGGGGAAAGGAAGGATGCAGTTTGATTTTAAAAGTTTTTTTTAAATAAATAAATTAAGATAAGAAATTGGGAAGGATGAAGATATTTCTTGTTAACTAATGAGAAGAAATAAATGCTAATTTATATAAATATAAAAATTAAAATAATTATTTGTTAAAGTAGAACCTGCACTAATTTTACTGATAGCATGATTCGAATTCCTGTAAAAGTGTCGAATTCCAAAAGTCGTAAAATGCTCTTTTAAAATATTCTATTAGGGCAAACTGATGCAGCCTCAATGGAAAACAGTATGGAGATACTTCAAAAAATTAAAAATAGAAATGCCTTATGATCCAGCTATCCCACTTCTGTGTATTTATCCAAAGAACTTGAAACCAACAATCCAAAGAGGCTTATGCACCCCTATGTTCACTGCAGCATTATTCACTATAGCCAAGACGTGGAAGCAACCCAAGTGTCCATCAACAGATGATTAGATAAAGAAGATGTGGTATATATATACAATGGAATACTACTCGGCCATAGAAAAAGACAAAATCGTCCCATTTGCAGCAACATGGATGGACCCGGAGGGTATTATGTTAAGTGAAATAAGCCAGACAGAGAAAGACAAACACTTTATGACCTCTCTCATATGTGGAATATAAACTACCACATGAACAGAGAGAACAGTTTGGTGGTTACCAGGGGGAAGGGATTTGGGGGGTGGGCACGAGGGGTGAAGGGGCACATTTATACGGTGACTGACAAATAATAATGTACAACTGGAATCTCACAATGTTATAAACTATTATG